CCTGGTATGGGTGCAGCAGTGCCGATCTGGCCTGGGCATGGCGGTATGGGTAGTCCTAGTATTGCAACACACGTCTGGCTATCCAGCGGTGGACTGCAAGGATGCATGCTGCTCATTCCCCTCCCACCAGATGCTTTGAGCTTGAGTCTCTAGCATTTTTCAAGCCATTCTCCAACTGAGGAGGGAAGAGACCAGATCCTTCCTGTAAAACCATGGTGAGAGGAGTGGACCTTGGTGGGTCAACACTCTTCTGGCCATGGTGGAAACAGAACAGGGTGGGAACAGATCCTCCCTCCTTCTTTAACCTCTGCTCCTTTCCTTCTCTGCAGCCCCAAGCTGCCTATACACACAGAATATATATTATATCAATAGTTTCTCTTAAATAAATCTTTGACTTTACCTCTTACGTATCAGTAGCACAAGTAATTAATTAAAAAAGTAACCCCTAAGACTATTTACAGAGAAGTTCATCTTGCAGAGGGGAGAAGTAGTTGGAAGTAGTCTGATTTTGAATGTGCTTTGTAGTTTTTTAAGCATCTTATCTAGCATTAGTCCTCTCCCTCCTACAGTGCTGCCACCGTGCTGGGAATTAAAGACCTATTAAACATGCTTTTCCAAAGTGCAAACTTGAAGGGTGGGGGGTCACTATGTACTCCCTATTATGTGTGAATAGAGGCAATGTTTAAATCAGTCAGACCTTGAAAGAAGCCTTTCACCTTCAAGGGCCGAAGGACTCCACTCGGCCTCAGCACCTGCCACCTCCCATATGCTCCTTGCTAACTCACAAGTCTTCGCCTCTCAAGGACAAGGACTTTTTATACAGCGTATGCTAGGACTGAAGGGACAGGGAAGCAACTGTCCATGGCTGGCATAGAAACTGTACAAAATGGAAGATGCTGAACTAGTGACGTTCCAAAGATTATTGCAGTATAAATACACCCTTGGTACATCAGGGATCCCAGGGTGAACAAAGAAGAGGGGCAATAGATTGATTGTGGGGGAAGGGAATGGGGGAAGGCTTCTTTAGTGTAATGCCCAGCCTGGAAAGTTTATAATGGGGGCTCCCACTGCTACAGCCTCCCTTGCTCTTTTAGGGCAGTCGCCTCTCTAAATGACGGAAGTGTCCCTCCTGCACTGTTCAGAGAAAAACATTCCAGGAGTCCCTCCGATCTACATCTTCTCCAAAAGAGACTTTTTTTTTAAAGAAAAGCTTCCATCCCCAGAAGATCCCCGCGACCACTTAGCAGGTATCAAGATGGTTACTCTTAAGTGTGGCTGGATTCTTCGGCAGCTGCGACCTTCTGACCGATCCACGTCAGTATTTCTTTAAAGACAGCAGTGCTGACCTCGGGCAGCTCTTTGTGGAGAGCATGATAGGCCTCATCATACACCTATAGTTGGGGAAAGAACAGATATTAAAACCATACACATCCAGAATAACACAGTCCTGAGGCCTCATTGGCCATCATCCACAGTCCCAATGTGCCCTTGTCACAAGTTGTCCGTATCTCTGTGTTTCTTAAATACAGCAAGGGATGGCCTCAGGTTGAACTGCACTGAGTGTTGTAAAGTGCCTCCTAATCTCCATTCATGTGTGTGGTGTTCTAATTCTTATGTTTCTTTAATACTTTTCCCTGTTGCAGCGTGAAAAATTCACGCGAGCTGCAGAAAGGCTGAGAAGGGCATCTGAGTGTGGGTTTCTGATCTAAGAGGTCTTCAGAGATGCTGAGCCCGTGGAGCCCTCACTGACAGCAACAGCAGTTGGGAGGGCTCAGCACCTTTGAAAGAAACCGGATTCCAGGTGTCCCCAGGCAGACCTTCAAAATTAGGGGCTGTTTGGGAGAACTGGGGCCAGTGTGGGAGAAAGACTGAAATGAAAACAGGGTTGTGTCAGGATGTAGAAAAAATAAATACAGGTTAAAAATAGAGTGAAATCTTTTTTAACCTTTCAGTTCTACTAATTTTAGCAGTGGGGAACCTATTCAGAGTGAAGCACGCTGGTGATGCTGCTGCTGTGCCTTTAAGTCAAGTTCTCCGTCATGGAAAGGCTCCCTTGGAAGGCTTTTGTTCATTATTTATAGGTGAGCTAGTATCTGACTGCTTGGCAATATCTGGCCAAATGCATTCAAACTCTCATTCTGGCATTAAGTCAGTTGAATTCTATGCATGGGATAAAAGGAACTGGACTTCTTTTGGTCTGAAAATAATGAAGTAAGCCCACTTCCTATCCTGCTTTCCATGCTCAGAGCACAAAGACCTGCCTCCCATCTCCGCTACTCTTACTACTGCCTGTTCCTCCATCCCACAGTGCCCATTCCATCACCCTCAGCACATCCAGTATGTTTGTGTCTCCCTCCATCCTGGCTCCCATGTGCTCCCCACCTCACTGTCTTTTCCCATGTTCCTCTATACTCTTTTCTGCCCATCTGTTGCTACACCTGGCCCTAGCTTACCTACTCATCGTTGGTTGCTCCCTCTTTCCTCCATGTCCCTCATTTATTCTCACACTCTCCCTCAGGCTGCTATCTGCCTATCCTGTGCACTTTCTATTTCTTCCTCCCCTCCCCTCTATCCCCAATGGCAGTCAACAGTCCCCCACTGTTTAATCCCTCCTTATTCCCACCCCTGACATCTGCTCTTCCAGCTGCCTGCCCCCACCACTTCCATCTCTGCCCTTTGCTGCTCCATTCCTTTTGCTGCAAATGGAGTGGTGTTAATGCCACTGAATCATCATCATCACAGTGACTGAGTCCCCAGCACCTCATCCTAACCACACAGAACATCCTGTTGCCTCCTGTCCTTTAGCCAGGGAACTGCAACTGTCTACATCCTTCCCCCCTAGTGAGCCCTGCATTCTCCTTCTTTTCATTCCCATGCAGTGTATCTCCAACATGTGAAGAAGCTCATGCATCTTTTCTGAGGGCTGCTTTCATCATTTGAGCAGTGGCTGCAAATGTTTGCACAGCTCCATCACTGCTTTGACATCCCAAGCAGCCAAAATCTAGTGAGGCAACCCAAGCAGAGGCAAGAAGTATTAATCATGCCCATGGAGCTTTGCCACAATGGGGGATGTTCCCACCATCCCAGGTGTGATTTTATTCCTTTGATGCCCGGTGTAGCCAGTTATTTTTCTGAGGACAAAAGCTTTTTGCTTGGTCTCCCCATCTCCTTTTCAGGCTCATTCATGTGCTAACAATTGCTTAATCAGCTGTGTGCTCTCGCCAAATGAGCAGATGTGAAATGGCTTTTGTTCTATTGTGCTCTGGAAAGGCCTCTTTGTACCTTTATGCAATGGGGCGTGAGGTGGGGTTGGCACTAAAGCAGCCTGCATTGTTTACACATTTTCAGGGTCACTGGTTACCTGGATAACAGTCCATCCTAGAATATGCCAAGTACCAGAGGAGTTGAGAGTACCCAGCACATCCCAGGTTGAGGAATAGGTGACTTCCATGCTCCCTCTCTCAGTGCTAACTTCTGGGCTGAATGGAGCTCCATCAAAGCCCTAGACCAGGAGTAGGCAATGTTTTTTGGCCAGAGTGCAAAAAACCCACAATATCTACCTTAGAAGGTGCTGGTGTGCCGATGTGCTGGAGCTGGGAGCAGCTGTTTGCAGCCTCCCGGCTGCAGCTGGCCCGTGGAGCCCGGTCTGCTTGCAGCAGGGCTTGCAGCCTCCCAGCCACCTGCTGGGAGCAGCCTGGGCTCCATGGCTGGCAGCATCTACTTAGATCCTGAGCTCGCAATGGTGTGCCAAGCAAAATGGCCTTGCGTGCCATGCTTGGCACGCATACCAGGGGTTACTGACCCCTGCCTTAGACCATAGTGACTAAAGCAGAGGCCAACACTAGCAATACAACTCCCTTCCCAGAGAAAAACACAAGCTGACCTTGAGTGTTTTGTCCTGGCTCAGCACTGTGTCCATCAGCAGATAGGATCCTTTGATGTCACAGAGCTTGTCGGGTGAGCCATGCAGCACCAAGATTGGCAGGGTCAATTTGGGGAGGGCCCGTTCTATTCTGGCAATGGCATTCATCAGCTGGATGACAAAGGAGACTTTCATTCCTCCATGGTGGACCAGGGGATCAGATGTGTAAGATTCAACCTGTTGGGAAGAAATCATTTAAGATCAACAATGCTCCACTTGAAAAAACTGAGGCAGGTTGTGTGTGTTGAATCTCTTCTTCCCTTCTTTGAGCATTTTAGCAGTTTTCCATTCTCTGAGGGCCAATTGTGCTATTTCCCCTGAGGTTAAGGCCTCTGCTGGAACAGCCATTGCCCCCAGGATTTCATGCAACTGCAGACTTTAGATTCATTCCTTGTGCCAGTGGAAATGTTCAGAAACCAAATATACTTCTGCAAGCAAGTGACCAGTATCAGCTATTGACTATTCTCATGGCAGCTTCCTTCTGCATTCATTTGTGCTGCCCTTCCTGCAGACAGTCCATCCCACCTGTGCTAATGCAGAGATATTATACCTCTATGATACCACCAACCCCTAGGTCCCCATTCTGCTCTGGTGCACAGTCTTTGAGAGGCTTTGCATAAGTGACTACACCTCTCTGTGCCTCAATTTCCATGTTTGCAAGGTGGAGGTAAACGTACTTCCCCATCCTGCAGGAGGGCTAAGTAACTCCTGTTTATAAAGTATTACGAAGATTAGAAACTCTATACTGGTGCTAAACATGCACACATGGAGACAGTGCCTGCAAAGACAACAGCTCCTAGCTGACCTTGCTCTCCTCAGTCCGGTGGAAGCCATCCTGCTCAAGATGGAGTGCTGCATGATGGGCTCTGAAGTCTCCAATGGCAACCCCTCTGTATGAAGGTGGCGTCAATCTCCATACTTTATGCAAGCTAGTAGAGGTGCACCAATACATTGGTCCATATTGTATTGGCACCGATAAAAGGAAAATTGACATTATCGGCAGTTGGCTTTTTTTGGCTGATGTGGCCGATAATGTCACTGATAAATGCTGTGTGCATGTCCACAGCTGCAGCATGCATGCAGCCAGGAATGCAGTCCAGCAGCTTGGAGATCAGCATCCGCCAGTAACTCTGTGTGGGGGAAGCAGTGTGTGTGTTGCGGGGGTGCAGACTGAGGCCCCCATGGTGAGCAAGGGAGTGGGGCTGGGGCAGGCATTACCCAGTAGGAGTGGGGCAGGGTGCAGGATGGAGCCGTGGGTGGCTCATCCGGGGCAGCTCCCACTGCTGTGTGCACCCTGAAGGGACATAGGGGGCATGTGCCCCCCCAGATTTGTGCATAGGGTGAGGGCAGGCTGCCTGCTGCATGCTTGGAGCTGGGGCTGTGCCAGCCTCTTCCTGGTGGGTGGGTCTGGGCTGGGGCTGCGCTTGGGGTGGGTGGGGACGGGGTGAGCAGTGGGTTGGGGCTACAGGGTGGCTACAGTGAAGTTTGGGGTGGCTGTAGCCCACCCCGTAGCCCCTGCTCCCAGTGCCACTGGTGCCTGCCCCAAGCACAGCCCCGGCCCAGCCCCCCCACCGAGAAACAGTCAGCACAGCCCCTAGCCCCAAATGCACAGCCTGCCCTTGCCCCACACACAGATCCAGGGGGCACATGCCCCCCACCCCTTCCCTGGGGTGTGCACAGTGATAGAAGCTGCCCCCCTGAGACACCTGCAGCTCTGTCCCGCACCCTGCCCTGGCTGGGCAGTGCCTGCTCCTGCTCCAGCCCCGCTCTGTCCCTTACCATGGGGGCCTGGATCTGCCCATCCCGCCCCCCCAGACTTAATGCCTGGCTGCCTATCAATCAGTGGATCAGTATCAGCTGATATGGCTGGTTAATAATTGGCCGTCGGTATCAGCCAAAAAAATCTTTATTGGTGCACCCCTACCAGCTAGGTGTGGTCTTGGCCTCTTGGCCAGTTAGTATGGAGACCCCAGTGTTGGGCAATATTTATATGAATTTAAACAATGGCATAAGGTGTTAAGAGGCAAATATGTATATCAATATTTCACTTGCAAATTCATATCCTTGTCTTGCAGGCTGGCTAAGAGTGGAGAGCCAGCAATCCTAGGTTGCTAGGAATGGCTTGTTACCGCGTCATGCAAAGCTACAGTAAATATTTGTACACTGTATTCGGAGAAACGAGCTTCTGCGGCCTACGCATGCGTTACCATCTCAATATTTGCCAGTTAGCTCTGATTACATGTTGGTCCCTGGCACAGCAGCCGATTCCTCTAAATTCTCATCGGGCTTTCAGATAACAAAATTATTTTTAGGTTAGCAGAATGAAGCCTTGGCTTTATCCTCACAGGCAACAGAGACTCTTCAAAAGTGAGTCCCCCTGGCAGGATGCTGGAGCCCCTACTTTGTGTGGGAATGAGGGATTGTGAGACTGCCTGCGAGGCAGTCCCCCATTAGCTCTCACTTAGCTGGGAGCTTTGGAACAGACTCGCTCGTTAAAGTTGACAAGCATTAGACCGTGAAGCAAACTGCATTGACTGGGGGCTGATGTATCCTTCTAAAAATCTACAGGTAACAAAGACGGTGGTGCTACTGGATGAGTGCTTTTAAACTCTACCCATTTCCTCTCAGGCTAGTTCAGACAAGACCACTGTTAGATCTCAAAGCCCTTGTGATTGCATCTGTCACAGCAACTGAATCCAAGGATTAGAACTGGCACGTGATGGATTCTCTGCTTCCACCTGCAAGTCCCCTGCTGTGGATTCCCTTCCCACAGGGGAAGTTTCCTATGGACATAGCCCCAAGCCCAGTGTATGCGCTGGGGGAAAGAGATGGGCAGGATAGAAGTCACTATAGCAGACCCTGCTGGTGGTGGATGATGGTCAAATGAAGATCACTACCAGCTGACGGAGGTCAGTGAGGGCCCCTAAGGTGCTCTAGTCTTTTCCAGGGCATATACAGAGAAACAGGAAGCTCGAACTGGCTGGTTGCCTCCTGGTCGCATGCTCTGTTTTCCCCAGGGCAGAAAAGAATTTGCCATCAGGAGTCAATAACCTACTATGTATGTATTCCCTGACTAAGCTCAGACTCATAGGCTAACATCCATCTACCAAGGAGATGTTAGAGGGAGGAACAGGAAACAAAAATTGTCTCCAAATGAAGAACCTTCTGCCACTGCAGTTCCAACGGCTCAGGCAGCAACCAGAGACTTAGTCGGAGAGAGAACTGGTACTCTGAGCTCTGATGCTCACCAAGCTTGCGCTCTGGTTGACCACTGTGAGGAGCAAGCTCCAGAGGTAGAGTTCCCTCTATCCCATATAAGAGGTGACCCTTGAAAATTAGGAATATTAAATACCAGTAGCAGCTTCCATGAGACTTTAATGGTGTTTTGGGACCCCCTCTTTGAACATGCTGCTGCTTTGAGACCCCCTCTTTGAATGTGTGGGTTTATATTTCCCTTTATTAGAAATTAAAATTAAGGGCACAGTAAAAAAACCTCCAAAGTAAGGGGTAATTATTGATGAGGAGTCTAATACACTCTCATCCCAATAGGTCAAGCATGGGAAGCCCCAGCACATCTGTGCCAACACGCATGAGCTCACATGTCTGTACAGACACAAGGGTCTGGAACATGTCTAAGAATCCATTGGTGGTGAAATCCTGGTTGAGACTATACAATCACAGCCCAATCCTGGGATGCGCTGAGCATCCTTGACTCCTGGAAGCAACAGATGACACTTCTGAGCACTCTGCTCCCTCATGTAATACTCTGCCAGTGTGACTATTCAGCACCTAAACCCACTGTCCCGGACAGCCCCGAGGGGTGCAGCATCACTGCTGCAAGCACCTCAGGTCTCACCTGCACCTCACACCAGGCAGAGAGCCATGTCAGTGGACCATGAATCTTGCACAGCCCCATCCCACTTGTCTGAAACCTCTTCCCTTTTCTGAAAGCTGTCTGTAACCCGTGAAGCTGCCTGAATTTAGAAAGAGCTGTCTTGGGATTGTGCTCCTGGAAAAGGTACACTTTGACTTCTGCAACACCAAGCACATCTAACTTTGTCGCCCCTCTCTCTAGCAGACCGCCCAATATATTTTTACCCAAACCGTTGAACTTTTTGTTTGCAATTTAAACAAAAGGCATAGGGTTCCTTCAGCTACTTAGCAACTGGCTTCAGCCTAATCTGTGTTATTTCTTTGGAGCTGTGTTGCAGTGCTGCACTAAGGCAACACAGCTTTGAGGTGGTTTTCTTTTTTTTTTTTTTCTTCATTTCACTGAAGGCAACAGAAGAAGGACTCTGGAGCTGGGGGTGGGGAATCAAGCAGGTCGGGAGGCGAGATTGACAGATGCTCCCTACCCATGGAATAAAATAATATAGAGAAATTTATATGAGGTGGCCCCCTTCCATCCCCATATAATGCCATAAATGCCAAGAGATGGCCTAATGGGCTTCCTTCTTTTTTTATTTCTTTTTTCAACAACAGGGAATTTTTAGCTACTAAGCAGCAGACCAATCTTTTGTGTGGATGGAAAAAAATAATACCCCAAGAATGATCAACATGGTGAGAGGGATAAAAACAACTAATGGATGACAATCATTATCCCAGTCGTTAGGTTTGTACATGGAGTGAGTGTACAGCACAGGTTTCTCCTAGTGAAAGGAGGATAAAGAGATGAGGAAGAAGGATGGGGATTTGTCTCCAGTCTTCAAAAGAAGCAGCACCCCCACTATGCAGCAAGGCAGGTTGTGATGGCACAGGAGAAGGCAGCTCCAAGACCTGCTATCTGTAACATCTGGTGGGCTGAGGGTTAGCTGTAGGGAGGGTGAAGAGAAGTTCAGCTGACTTTTAAGGTTCTCCATCACCGGTGATGTGGATGGGACCTGGTAGAGATGAAGCAAAAGCTTGCAGCAACTCCTGTACATGAGGTCCCCTGTGACTGGGGGATGCCTTATGGAGTGGGGCTTGTTGTGTGGGGAGGCACTTTTTGAGGTGCTGGGTTGCTGTGCCATTCAAGTTGTGCCCATGGGAGGTTGTGCCTTGTGCGGTGGGCTGCCTTCCCACAGAAAATGTGCCCAGTGAGGGGAGTCACCCTGCCATAAAGGGCATGATGCGTATGTGGGGTGCCCCATGGGGGAATGTCCTGCCCTGTGAGTTGAACCCTAGGGAGAGTCCTGTGACTAATAATAAGGGCTATAAAGTCTCCAGCCATTCAGCAGCCCTCAGGTGAATGGCAGTCTGGGGCAATCACCCTCCTGTATCGGTGCTCCCATCCATCTTTCCATTGTCCTGTATCTGGGCTCGTTTCTTACTGCAGCCCTCTTACCTACCTTTGCTCTACCAGTAAATCTGACTCGTTGTTCCCTTTGTGCCTTTTCCCACTTCTTGCTTGTCCTCTGCCCTCTACAAAATCCTGGTTCTCTCCGCCTCCTTTCCTTGTTGTTCCCTTATGCTTGGGTACTGCTGGAGGCAGCTCTCTTGCCAACATGGAGACCGTGGGCAGCAACTGAAGACTAGGTCTGGTCAAAATCTTTATACTGGAGACAGTTCAGTGATCTTTTCTTGCCTGGGCCTAGTGCGGGAACTGTAGAACCCACCTCAACAGCCAATGAAGGGGTTTTTTAATTTTCTTTAAGATAAGAGTTATCCACCATGTCTCCTGGTATCACCCATAAGCTGTTCTAAGCCGGGGTTGCATTTTCCCTCTGTGTCTTCCACAGCATGAAACATACTACTGAGCACTTACAGCCTGATCCAGTGCTCACTGAAACAGCCAGAATATTTACAATCTCAATGACAGATGTAGCAAGACTTGAATAAAAATTAATGAGATCCAGTAGCCTTGCTTGTCCCAGAAATGGGACTGCCTCTCATCAGCACCCCATATTACTTTCCATCCATGTTTGTAACAGAAAATCATCTCCAGTCTACCCTGTTCCTCTCAGTACCTACATCTTGAGGGCAGCTTGGCATGAACACAAAGAAAACAGGAAATTTGGGAGGATATCCCTTGTATCCTTCAGTTGTTATAACACTGCTCAGCATCACCCTTGCCAATGAAATGACTGGATAAAATTGTGCTCCAAATTAGGGAAGACAGTAGGCATCTGTTTGAACTCACCATAATGGGGACGTCCTGAGGTCAGAGCTCAACCCCAATGACAGTACTTAGCATGTCACTAGCACTTTCCATTTGAGGAGTGACCCCTGATGTCACTCCTCCTCAAAACCCCAGGAACACAGATCTTTTTTCACAGGATTTTATCAACTCTTCTCTAAGCTGTTGCTCAAATAATAGTTGGTAACACCTTTTCCATGATGAAACACCACAGAGCAGATAGATGCAGCTAAGCATTGTTCCTATAACTTAGATGGAGCCAACCTTATTTGTGTGCATATGTTTTGTGGGTCTTTGTTATTCCAAAGCTCACTAATACACTTGAGGAGATACAGGTTACAAAGTGGGCGTTTAACTAGTGCTGTCTGGGTTGGTTCATAGACTCTGTCCAGAGCCATAGTATTCAAGCAACTGCTCTACCTACTTTTCTCTTTTCCAGCTGAAGAATTCAAAGATTTTTTTTTAAACAGTTAGGTTTTAAACCCAGTATATTATTATTCCTGTTTTCAGACAAGGAAACTGAGGCACAGAGAGAGTATGTGACTTGAGCAGAGGGTCTCTGTCATAGCCAGGACTAGAACCCAGGAATTCTTGTGGTTATTCTTCATGACCATCTTTCCTAATTTCTAGGGCTGTGTGAAATTACGCCGGCTGTTTCGTTCCAATTTCGAGGTCGAAACAGCAAAATCGGAACAAAACAAAGGCAGTCGAAATAGCCTCGAAACAAAATGAGGCTGGTCGAAATGTTTCGACCATAGGATGGGGATGGGGATGGGAAGTCAGTCCAGCTGGGCTGGCTTCCCATCCCCAGCACAAGGTCTGGCAGGAGGAGGGAGGCAGCTCAGCTGGGATGCTTCCCAGGGCCTTGTGCTACATCGTGGTGGGGTGGGAGGCAGCCCAGTGATGTAGCACAGGGCCCCAGGAAGCAGCCCAGCTGGGCTGCCTCCCACCCCTGGACTGATCTAGTGGGGGACGGGGAAAGCAGCCCAGTTGGGCTGCCTCCCGCCCCCGCGTGATGTAGCGCTGGGGATGGGAAGTCTGACTTCCCCTCCCCAGCAAAATTCAAAACAGTGTCAAAACAGCCTTTCTGTTTCAACAGAACGGAATGGAACAGCTGTTTCGACTTGAAATGAAATTTGAGATGAAACACTGTTGCCTCGAACCATTGAAACTCAAGGCGAAATGGAACAGTGCCATTTCGCACAGCCCCACTTTCAAAGCAAACCAAACCCGCAAACAAAGCCTACCTGTACCAGGCTTATATTTCGACTAACCTGTCTGCTCCCTCTCTATTCAGTCGAGTGTGTGTGGCAAGTGGCAAATGTACAGTCTGATGGTGCACAGACACTTCCACAGATGGGGAATGGACTCATATCTATTTAAAGACAAATCCAACTTATCCTGCCAGTCAGAGGCTTGAAAAATGACAACATGCCTCAGTGGCACACAGGTGGGCAGGGAGTAAGTGTTTGCTTTGCCTGCCAAACACTCCTGCTTCTGAGAAGCCCTCAGGTACCATTTTCTGTCATTTCTGTTGATCTTACAAACCAACTCAGATCCCAGCTCACAAAACCTTTCCACACTGAGCTGTTTCATTCATTGAGGTTTCTCTTTTCTTTCCCCCTCAGCACTAAAATACAAACCCAAGCCTACACGTGGCTGTTTCTCCTGAAAGGTGTGGGAGCGTTTTTACTCATTATTTTGTGCAGTTGCTAAGACATCTGGTTTTACCAATGACTACAACAGCTACTACTGGGAGTGTTTGTAAGGAAGAGGGAGGAGAGAAGCTGCCTCTCCACGTAACAGCTCAGTCCCATGAGACACATTTATCCTGACAAAATATTTTCCCCCAGTGCTGCTCTGCTCTGGGTAGCTATCATGGAGGCTGTAATGGGTGACAGTGGCTACTCTGGCTATAACGTCTCTGGGGCAGAGGCCATTTGTTTTTCTCTGTGTTGATGGGACTCAAGTCTTTCTGTTGCCATAACGGTACAATAAGCAGAGCTGAACAACACAGCCTGAAGTATCTGAGCCATCTCTAAACCACAGCTTCCTCCAGGGCTGCTGCCATTGGAGCTACATGCCAGTGGCGAAGGATGGTTCCCATACTTGCTGCACGAGCACCCCACAGCCAACTGCTACCTCTCCGGCCTAAAGCACACCCTGGGTGCCAACTGCATTGAATTGGTGACTGAACAGTTCCTGACTTTGGGCTAAAATTGCTTGTTGGTGTAAGGACTTAAAGCTCCCAAGGCTGCAATGATATGTCATATACCTACATCAGCCTCTAGTACTGCCATTTCTTTGCTATCTACCAAGACTCCAATGATTGAAAATGGTATGCATCTTTATAGACTAACTAACTAAGATACATATATATGGAGCACAGGCTTTTGTGAACCCCAAGTTCACTTCATCAGATGAAAATGGTATTAACAGTCTTACCTCCTTCTTATTCCGGGAAACCACATTTGGATCTATGGATCCCAGGGACAGGTTTGGTAGGACAAAGTTGAGCACTTTCGCTGCAAAAACCTATGAGAGAGTAATGCATTTGGTTCAGTAAGTAGAAAAGAGGTCCATGGATCTGATCCTCATCTGGTGTAAATCATTACTGAATTAAAGTCAACACTGCCATGCTGAGCTACACCAACAAAGAACTTGACCCTGTATTTAAAAAACTGAAGGGAAAGGAGTTGGATGCCAGCCAAGATCAGTTACAGGAATGGGTGCAATGACATGAAATGCACTTGGCTGTCATCTCCTCGCAACATCGGGCCCCCTTCTCTGCGCTGCATTTCTTCCCATTGCAAATGGGATCAAGTTAAATTAAGAAGGGCCTCACTTAAGAACCCTGTTAAGGGAAAGCAGCTTTCACTCCTCCGTGGAGCTGATTGTGTTGTTGTTGCTGCCCTTTCCTGCCGTCACTCAGCTCTGATTTCAGGCTGCAGCACATAAGTGATATTCTGGGCAATTTACAGTAGTTGCCTAGGCTGCACTCTTTTTGATAAGCACATTCTCCTGGGAGCCTGAAAATAAACAACAGCAAAATGTGCATGCATTGACTAAGGAAATCTATTGCTCGCTTGTCTCCTGGGAATTAAACACAAAAGCATTCAGCAGCTTGAGCTCAAAAATGCTGGCAGAAAAAAAAAGAGTAACTTCTCTTCTTTCAATAGCATTTTACAATCCCCCCAGTGCTGGGGCTCTTCTCTGATCTTTGATACCTTGTCTTCTAATTAAGTGGTCACCACTTAGGAAAGAAGATAATATGTAATTGGCTTTTGCAGTCTCTTTTATTGCCCTATTTGTTTCCACCTTGCCCTTCAAGGTGAATTGTACCTAATACACCCTGCCTGTGTTTGTATGCACAGATTGTAATCACTTAGTAAGTGTTCTCTGATATTTCTGTATCACAGATGCTGTATGAAGGGAAATTATACTGCATTAAGGGATCAATACTAGGTTGAAATTAGAAACGTGGTCAATGATAGCTCATGGCAAATATCAAGGCATCCCCATACATGGGGAACATATTATTGGCAAATCATAAACTCTTTGCACTGATTACCCCACTGGCACTCACATTTCATGAGACAAATTCTATTCCACTGAGATCCCCAGAGTTATATCATGGATCTCCATGGCTGCACACATAAGCTTATATCTTCAAATAGGGTTACTAAACAGAGAGGGAGTTTTCTTTAGCCTTTGTTAATTTTAAGATTACAATGATTTGGGGCATCTGTCTTGAGACATTTTATGAGTGCTGATTAACATTACCGAATTTCTCAATTGTGGAATTCCAGTGAATGTGAAATGGACCATCTGCTCTCAGGGCTCTGGCACATCCCTCAAAACAGGTACAACAGTGAGCTGTCAGACCTCAGTGATTGCTTATTCAGGTGGAAACACCTTGGGACAACAGCCTAGCTAAAATCAGAAGTACTTTTTCCCCCAGGTTCTCAGGGGAAGAAGGCAGGGGGCTAGGGTCTAACGCATGTAAAACCCTCGGGTGAAGAACAAAAAAACCAAGGTGTTAGATGCTGGTCTTTAAAAACCAGAGATGCACACAGAAAGCTTTACTGCAGGAGACAGGAAGACACAGCCATGCTTCTGGGGGACAGAGGGCACTGCTTAATTGTGGAATCAGCTGTGGAAGAAGGACGTTAGGTGACACTGGGAGACTTTGGAAAGAGGCCGCGTATTGGAGAGGGGGAATCTGAACCTACCAGAAGACTCTCTGCTTGAAGAGCAGGGAAATGTGTACGGATGTGTCAATTATTTTTGTCTGTGTGTGCGCTTTTTTTGTGCCACAAAAGAGTAATTTGTTTTAGAATCCTGTGCAAAATCAACGGGAGTTATATTGCCAACGTGTGTTCCCGGACTCTGAAGACTTGAACCATACTTACACAGCACACCCACAAGCGTGGAGCTCAGGGGAAGGTCGTGTTTATTTTCAAGGAGTTAGTGCTGGTCCTAATGCACCCAAAGCAGTTGGGCCAAAGAGGCCCATTTCAGTCAGAGAGCCTGTCCCAGAAAGTCCAAGGGAAAAAACCAGGCTGCAGCCCATTTAGATCAAGGGCAGCTCAAGAGTTAGGGGCATGGCAGAGGACCTCTACCAAGACTAAGACAAACACACATCCTTATTATCAGTCCTGTTTTTTATTTTGAACCTATGAATATTTATACCCCCAAAGATCTCTATATAAATAATGTGAGAGTAAATCTAAGGTTTCCCTCATGTGAGCAGACACACGCTTCTTGTTCGTTAGGTTCTCCAACACCATGATGACCTAAACTCTTAGCATGAGCTTTGAAGATGTTCTCAAAGCTTCCTCATGTTTCTGGAGTTCTCTCCAGCTTTAGCACCCATTTTACACCAGTGTAACTTCGCTGACTTCAATGGAATTATTCCTGATTTTTCAACAGTGAGGGAAAAGAATCAGGCCCTATATATGGTGTTTAGATATGCACACAGAGGCATCATGCATGTGTGTGTGTACATACCCACAAATATTGCTGAAGCATAGATGTCACAGGACAGGCATCGTACAGTCACAGGAACCTGACACTAGCTTCGTAAAGATTGTCAGCTCTGTATGAAAAGCCACATTACCCTTCCTGTAGGCTGCATCAGTCAATACAGCTTATAGCTCAATCATTCTAAGAGCCAATGTCATTGCCATCGGAAAATATAACCTTTCATGTTACAAACCCATACTGAGAGGGTCAAAAGGTTTTAGTGTGGCTTCATTGATTTTGTGAGCGCTATGGTGACAGTCTGTGACACACTGGACTTTTAATTAAAGGTTGTGTTGTTAATGCCCTGGATATATCTGATAGCTGAGGAGTTTATCTCCTGACTGGTTTGAAACAGCAGCTGATGTAATGCAGATTCACCAGGAATGGTTGTCAGGCCAGTTACATTCAGATGGAGAAGATGCAATTGGACAGTCTGGGGATGAGATAAAAGAGAAGCAGTTGCTGCACCCATGCTCATCCTGGTGTGGGAACACTTTCAAATTCAATCCTTTTCCATGCCAAGGTCCAAAAGGGAGATCCCAGACTAGGATGGGAAGATATGTTTTCCCTTCAAGGGCTTGTCTACCCAGAAATCTGTGCGGTTTTTAGCTAAAAGTGAGATTCAACATTACTTTAGTTAATCTGATACAAAAGGCTACGTGGCTGCTGTTATGCCAATAAAAAGCTGGGTTCTCTGAATTTACTGAAAAGCGATTACAAACATGTTTAAGCTAATGGGAGAAAGGCCGCTCTTATACCAGAATAAGAATGTCTATGAAAAGTTTTGTCCCAGTTTAATTGATTTGGTGTCCTTCACTCCTTGGGGAGCTAGCAATAAATAGCTGGGTGATTTCACTCTCTCAATGCCAGGGACTTGCCAGGCACAGGATTAGATTAATGTGCATTCTTATGAGGAGTGCAGGGGTGGCCTGAACTCTCCCCGCCCCGGTTCTGCCTCACTGTCCTCTGCAGCCAGAAGGCTTCCAGACACTACCACTGGTGCAGTGCTCTTCTTCTAGCATGGTCAGTGAATGGATAAGCCATGAGCTACTAATTATCCTGCCAGCTAAGTAGTTTCTGTAACTTAAATGGCCACATGTCCATTGATAGCTAGAGCTACAGTGGTTAGCTTTTGGCACAAGTCTGGAGAGAGGTTCTCAAACTAGGTGTCTCTGAAGCCAGAGCAAAATAGTGTAACTGGTTGGCCCCCGTGCCCTTTCTCTCTCTCTCTGTATGTGGGAGACATTTCTAAGACAGCAGCAAGTGCAAGATCTGATCATCACAGGATATTACTCACTATTATCATGTTCCTGTTAGTCAACATTAGCTATGCCAAGTTAAACTCTTGTTTGGCTAGAAACCTCTGCTCCAAGAGGATGAACTGGAAGGTCCCTGCTCTGTCATCAAGGGACTCAGGAACTACAAGGCATAACAGCTCAAATGGGTAAAAGAGAGAATATTCCCTACTTGGGGAGAAGCATCAATGTATTTGGTGCGGACTCTCAGCCCTCCCCGAGCAGAACGCATCTCTATGTTACACCTAGAGTTTAGAGCCTGACCATACACAGTAACACAGTCCTGAGGGGAGCCAAATGCCCTCCTTGCTCACTAAATACACTGGAAGTTAAAAACACCTAGCATTGCTCAGGTCTCTTATTTTCCTTTGCATCTCTTCTGATCACGTATACACCTTCCCTTTCACTTGCTAATGAGTCCTTTAAGAGTCATCCAGCTCTGCATTTCTGATGGAGCTGCTATTCCCCCAGATGATCCTGATCTGCTGGTGATTACATGGCTTGGATCAGTTATCTGATTCAGCTGCAAAGGAAACAGGTGATTGCCCTTTGCCCTCATGGACTAGAAAAGCTCAGTAGCAAGCAGACAAAGCCCAGCAGTAGGATTACTTCTGGTGACTCTTTGGAAAGGGAGAGGAGCAAATCTTGAACAGATAGCCTGGAAGTTAACTGGGAATAAGGATCCAGACTGGGGAAATGACTCTAGGAAAAAAAATTAGTGGGCTAGTGCCCTGTGGGAAGGGGGCTCAGGAAAGGTGATAAACTCTTTATTTGATGTTTCTTTTGGGACTGTTGCTTAAATTTGCTGCCTGCACCTTGCCTGGGGGTGCCAGGTGAGGTGATGGAGCCTCCTTGATGGAAGACAGGCTGGATAAAGAGTGCTATAGAATAGTAACTTGGAAAAAAATAAAGTCTGTGCCTAATCCAGGACTGATAATCCTCTGTGGAGACTAGCCCTGTCCAGGCTCCCTAACTCCTTAACTAAAACTGCTGTGGTCAGGTGCTTTTCAGATGCACAGCTGGGGATGTGGTTAGGAGCCCTACCACAGAGATGGCTAAAGATCCCTTTGAGAAGTGCAAGGAGCAGTGAGGTTTTGACTTCGCTGTGTCCTGTCTAAAACCTGGATGCCCCAGAAAAGGGGCACAGAGAGAGTGAAGTCACCAGAGCACAGGGCCCAAGCGGAAGTGTGGCCCTCAACTAAGGAAGGAACCATCACAAGATGGTTGGTGATGTAGAAACCAGGCCTGTCCTGCTTCCATTCTTCTCTCCAGCACTAATTTTGAACTAAGGGGATAAAAGCTCTCCTTGGAAGGGACAAAATTAATTTCCTTTTTTGGATTAAAAGTATTTGTTTGGCAAAGGGGGTGGCTAGTGGAGGAAGGAGATAATGGCTGGTGCCCTGTGACAGAGAAGAGGGATCTCTGTAGGATGCCTGCAGTAACGTCGGTTTGTTGTCATGTTTATTTAAAATGTCTAGATCAACAGTAGAACAGTCTTTCTTTTTTCTTCCATTACCTTGATGGGTGTTGCTGCCTCAGGGCTTGCTACAACCAAAGGAGAAATTAAAACCATGCCCGAAAAGTCATTTGGCCTCTCACTTGCAGTTAGAATAGAGATGGCTCCACCCTGCAATAAAAAAAAAGCAAGAAGCATTGAGAGAGAGAGCATGATTCTTCTTTGTTTGTACAACGTCGATGGCCTACCAGGCACCCTAAAAATAGTTGGTGTGAGGTTGGGGGAAGAAGCCCCCTGTCCCAAGGAGCTTATAATGTGGCTGGAGAACTATGCTAACAAAGGAACATGAGCTGGAGTAACCCAAAAACAGATTGGGGTTAAGTTTCTTGTGTGTAATAGGGCCATACTTTCAGTAATGGAAGATACTATCTTATATACTGTTATGCACTACTAAACTTCAGGCATAAAAGCAATTTTGTGGAACACCACTGGATTTATTCACATGCGTTGGCAGGATCATGGTTCCAATGCATCCCTATGGTGAGGACTGAAAAATAAAGGTCTTCTGGCCACTCTGGGTGAGATTTGAGGGTTGAAATGAGGACTGGTTGGAGGTCCAGCCCACTGAAGGGGTGGCAATGACTGGGAGAGGATAACCCAGTGAGCAGAGAGGCTGGAGCTTTGCCTCCAGTCTCTCTGCATGATATTGTTGTCTCAAGGGTTATGAAGTGGTGTTGCTTCAGAAAGAAAGATGTGAAATATTGGTTAATTATAGGCCTGAATTACTGATGCACAAATGTTTGTGAGGTTTCCTCTCTCCCAGCTTTGCACTCAGTTGTTCATAGGCTTCAGGTCCTACAGCAACATATTCACATGTGGCTTCAAGTGCATTGTTGACAAGATGCGGACTGGCCCCTTCCCGTGTGAAAAGCGTAGTCATTCTGATGGGGAGGCAGCAGTGCTTGGCTCACTTGCTCAGTGAAGTTCACAGAGGATTAGTTGCCAAGGAAAATGCTTGGTGAAGGTCCATGCTACCAAAGAACCATTGGCTTGTTCCAAATGGAGCAGCGGCAAGAAGAATCTCAATGACCTTGGGAACTGGCTGCTTGTTCACTTTGCTCTGAGCCAATGTAACTCTTAAGCTGTGTGATATTTTATATCAGGACTCTTGTTTATCTGAATGTGGGGCTGAATACCAGAATGCCTTTTTAAATCTTCAGGGAAAAGATCTGTAAACTCAATAGGATCATTTCCTGGCTGAGTAAGCTGGATTTGCCCTATACTTTCAACATAAAATTGGCTCGCAAAAGGAACCACCCTTTTGTTTTCTGTCCCTTATCCTTGGTGCATTTTCCTGTAATTGTTCTTCACAATGGAGCTACAGTGCATGGCTATGTTTCATACATAATCCTCTCATAAGGTCATGGAGTGCTTTACCTCCTGCTTACTGGTTCAAATGTAACCCCAGTTCTTGAATGTAAGATGCTACTTGCTGGCAGCTGCTCAGGACTGGGAGAAATGAGTGAGTAGGACTCAGTCCAGTTCCCAGTAGGAAACTGGTGTCCATAAGGCAGCACTCTTCAACCATTTGTGTCTCAAAGCACCCCTTGATAGATTCAAGATACCCCTTGGAAAATGTCAGGTCTTAGTTTTTCACTTTTTTTTTTGACTACACAAAAGTAATAGAGTATCTGCTCTCTTGCAAAGAATGCTTTTAACACTATAGATTCCTATACTTGAAATCTCTGGGTTTATCTTGTGAATCATGTTTGCACATCTAATAATTGGGGCTGTGCGAGGCTTCGGGAGCCGATTCAATTTGGAGGAGATTCGGCCCATTTTGGGGACTGAATCTCTGAATCCAAATTGAATCAGGAGAGCAATTAAAAGCTCCAAATATATTTGAAGCATCTGAATTGATCTGGTGATTTGGCCACAGACTAAACAGGCAGCTGACAAGTCTGGGGCATGGGGGAGGGACAGATTGGGGCTGGGACAAGTTGCCCAGCTGGGGTGGGGGTGGTGGCATGGGACTTGGGGGAGGGGTGCAGATGCAGCAGTGTGGCAGTGCTTGGAGCAGGGGCTATGCACTGCTGCCATTTGCCAGCTGGTGTGGTGGGATGTGGGCACGGCAGCGCTGGGAGTAGGGGCTATGCCCTCCTGCCGCTTGCCCCCTTCTGCCCGGAGCGAGCTGCACCTCCATATCCCCCACCCCCGGACCGGCTGAGCAAGTGGCAGTAGTGGACAGCCCTTGCTCCAAGCGCTGCCGCCGCACATCGTGCACCCCTCCACCCCCCTCCCAAGTCCCCTGCCCCGGCTGGGCAGCTTGTCCCAGCCCCAATCTGTCCCTTCCCTTCTACCCCCCCCAACCCCAACAGACTTACCAGCTGGAGGCAGCTGTGTCAGCTGCCTCTTTAGTCTATGACCAAATTTCTGAAGCAGCACCAAATCTTTCATATCTGATTAGGCTAAATCGAATTGGGACACTGATTTGAATCTCCAAATCTAAATTACTGTCCTCCAAATCGGCCAAATCCGAAGTGAACACTTGCCACTTTGCACAGGCCTACTAACAATGCTATTATTGTATAGCACTTATGAGATCCTTTCACAGGTGCCATGGCACCCTGGTTGGGAAATGCTGCCATTAAGCAAACAAAACCACTCTTGCAAATGGCAGTAATTGCATTCTGATTCCAGGGGCAAGGACTGAGTGGTCCTATACACTGAAGCCCTCCAGGGTGGAAGAGCAGTGGCAAAAGAGTGAAGTAACTTGTTGCTTTGCTTTTTTTTTTTTTTTTTTGCACGGTAGCTTGGGTGACTCCTAACTCTGTGAATGAGCTGTAGCAAATTGTCCTGACCATCGTTAAGAAGGGTACACTTACCATGGAATGCCCCAGAATGAAAATGGGCAGATCAGGGTGTTCATTCTTCATGAGTTCAATGTGCTGCAAGCTGTCTCTGATGAAAATGTGGAAATCAGACACAACCATACGCTCCCCTTCGCTCTGCCCATGGCCAACTGCACAGGAAAAAAAAAGACACCATGGTTACATCGCAGTGAAGTAATAGAAACGTACCTGAGTGTCAGGTCGACTTCAGGTGCCTCAGCAAGTTGCAGGGACAGAATCATTGACCAAGTGCTCTTGTGCTGATGCATACATGCATTATAAGTGTGCTTTACATTGCATAATCTTGGGCTCTCAGAATTTCCCTTCCCAATTTCTGGTAATAGGGTGAGGGAATAAGTAGGAGTGTGCTATAGAAATAATAAGCACAACATACTAGACAAGAAAAGAAGCTCATAAGTGACTCAGTCCTTGCCTAAGAAGCCTTTGTCTGTTCTCCCCCCCCCCCCCCCCACCCGCTATCCAAAAACGACCCCCGAACATGCTTCCCAAAATGAGATGAGCCCCAAGCAAAGTTCAGATCTAGTCTCTTGCTCTTCCAAAGTTCAGTGAGTGAAAGGATCTGGTGGGTGTTTAGCCTCAGTAGCTGGAGTGAGGCCTTGGATTGCTGCAGTGAGGGGCGTAGCATAAAAACTTAGAGAAATAGAGGATTCTGGATACTGAATGAGATGGCTAGAATAGCCATAAACAGATGTTCTGTAAAACTTAGACCTAGGGTGCCATGACTCTGCTCTTCCTTCTTGTTCACATCTCTGTCATATAGTGTATGTTATCTCGGGATTCTTGATTTGCTGCTGCTGTGGGGAGGTGGGTTGGGGTAGTTGCCTTCAGTAATGGACAAAACTCAAATCTGTGACTGTAGGGTCACAAGTGAAACTAGCAGTCACAATGTTCACAAGTATGGGAGTTCCACCTAAAACAAGTGGTAACTTGCAGCATACAGCATCCTATTTTGACACTATTGAGCCACATACTAGATTTGCCTTGATTTGGATCAGTTTTTAGTTTCCTCCTGCTTTTTCCTGCCCCTCCCCCCCCCCCCCGAAGTAAACAAGTTACTATGGGAACAATGGCATTATTGGTAAGGGTGGAGTTAGTGACATCCACCAGCACAGCAGAAAGTCAATTTATAGCATGTAAAGTCTTGAAATGATTTATATGATTAGCATGACGACATACGTGGGGGGCACTATATAAATAGCATATCTTTCTTTCAAAAAAGAGCCACACTGTTCTTGCTCACTGTGGTTTGTCATTAAAGGACACTTGGAAGAAGCGTGGGGGAAAATAGCTCCATGTAACAGGCTGGTCATGTTCACCTGAACCTCCTCCAGCTCCGTGAATGGGTGATCCTGCTGGGAAATGTGAAGTGGAGCCTGCTGATGGAGAGGTGGAGGAGACTGAGAGAAACCCTGAGACATGCCAAGCTTGGAAAGGTGGTGTGATCAGAACTTACTTAATGTCTGTGCTTAAAATGAAAAGCCAGGCAGAGGGTGAGTTGATTTTGCATAGCTGTTGGAATGTGTGTGTAGGGCAGATTGTTCCATGTTCTTTTTCCAGACAAATGCATCTATAGCTCTACATATGGCTTCACTTCCACAAATGACTGATGATGGCTGTTGCTTCTTGTCACTGACACATGGAAGATCCTTTCTAGCTTTGGGATGGAAATAAGCTAAAAGCTCTGTCATCTACAAATGGGTCGATTAGCAAACACACTGCTGAATCCAGCATTCTCTGCCCTGTGCCCTGATATGGAAAAGCGTGTATTTAAATCCCATAGACAAAGCTGAAGGGTAAGCACTCGACTGGGTTAGGTCCTGGCCCCTTGGTGTTAGCCTCAGAAGCAAAAATGGTCCATCTTCTCTGTGTGAGTAATGCCCAAAAAAAGTGTCCTCTAATGGTATATGCATCATATAAAATAGGAATGTAATTTAAATGGTACTTCTAATCCAAACAAGCCGAAGTAGTTCACATTCACTAATGAATTCTGTCTCCTAACGCCTGAGTGGGGTAAAGCAAGATTACTGTGCCCATGCTATGGATAGGGTGAAAATCTGTGCATCTCCCCAGGTTGTGTGGTACAGACACTTCATGGAGGGCCCCTGACACCTTGTACCTTTATGCCCATGGGGCTAGTATGCCCCTCTTACGCTGCCTAAAATGACCTCTCGGGGGATTTTCCATTGTCATTCCACCTTACAAAGTTCTTGGTCTTTTAATTTGATTTTACTTGAGCAGTCAGACTGCTATTATCTCTTATCTTTTCTTCTCCACAAAATCAAACTGTGTTCCATATGTAATGAGTCCACTAGAAGTAGATTCACCCAACTGAAACCTGCCTGGAGCGAGGAGCCTTTTGTGGTGCATGAAAGGAACCGCGCAATCAAACATCAGTACAGAGGAGATGACTGAACTTTTTTCTTCAAACTTTAGTCCTTAAAAGAGTTTGTAAGAGTGAAAAGGCCAAATCCAGCCTTGCATACAACTGGGATGGATCTGGCTTCGTGGTTCTGCAATGCTAGTTGAATGAAAGTTGGTGCAGAAATTGAGGTAAAGGTGCAAGTGATGGAACCAAACAAGTGATAACAGAGCAAAATAACATGCTGTATCTCCTTGCATACCATCCCCCCACACCCCAAGAAATGTTCCTTCTTTTTTGGAAGGCAAAATATAGGAAAAAATCTTTTCCCAGAGTCGCAGCTGAGAGCTGGCTGACTGCAGCAGCCTGCTCTCCATCACTCAGCTCACTGGCTGCTAGATACAAAAGCTACAGTGTCAACTGCTCTGCCAAAAGCAACTGCCAACTTGGCAGTGGCTGTGAAAGGGTTAAAAATGGCCTCTGCCCCTGCTGCTTGCTGGCCTGGAGAGAAGCAGCAGCCACTACAGCACAGCATCTCTGCTTCTATTCCAGTGAAGAAAATAGACCTCCTGCTTAAGACATGCACCCTGGTTTTGGAAGACTGATTGTTTTGTTTTGTTTTTGTTGTTGTTTCTTTTTGGGGGGGGAGAAAGGGGTGCATGATATGTGAGTATCTATGATAAAAGCTAGCCAGGGAAAGGGTTCTCTGATGCAAGAAATGCCATTTTAGACTTAATGTAAGCTTAGAGCTGGTCAGCTAGATAAGACTTTCAAGATGCTCAGTGGAAGGTGCCTGCAAAGGGCCAACACTAATGCTTGTAGACCTTCTCTTTCATGTTTTATCTGTTCACTACTGCTATGCACATAAACTAATTTGTTCGCATCAACAAATGGACAGCTAGATGCATATGCAGTGGAGTATACAGCTGGAATATACATTCACATATGCATTTTTGGGCATGTATACTTTTTTTCTAAACAGGACAAACACTGGAAAGAAAGAGTAGGTGCTGGAGAACCACAGGGTCTAATCTTTCCTTCCTTAGCCCAGCCAAAGCATTGTTGCAAAATACCGTGTGTTTTACCTTAGAAGGGACTGACTAAAGATTGCAGGGTTTAAGACTGTGAAATTAGTCATTGTTTGCCACTTTTAATCTTAGTGTGTATATGTTCATTCCCATTGTCAGCACAGGACTGTTTCTTACTCAGCCCAAACCATAATTATCTTTTTAGCAACCAGAACAGTAATAGGAACTGATCACAAACTCAACCAAGTGTGAAGGAATGGCTTAGGTACATGACTCTTGGCCAAGTGGATGGCCCCTACATAGTCACGCAAGCATCCGGAGAGGGGAAGCCCTGTCTGCCCATGCTGGAAGGCAGGCTGGGCAGGGGAGAAGGATAAGGAGAGTGTGCTACCCTATTGGAGCAAGCATTTAAAAGCTCACCTGCCTCATGACTGATACTAGAACAGCTCTACATGCTCGAAGTACCTTTCCCCAGCTTCAACACCTTTCAGCATCATGGGACCTTGTCCTCAAACCAGGTTTCAAAGCCAACCCAGCCAAGTGCCTTCCAGTTGTCTTCACACTCATTAGAGGATTTTACACATCAGCAGGATTGCAGATGTGTGCCTGGCAAAAAGAGAGAGGTGAAATTCCACACCTCTAATAAAAGTGGCCTGGGTTGTGCAGCCGTATGTGGATGTGAGAGCCCAGGGAACCCCTCCAGCCCTGCACTGGAACCGCTGAGCAGACTCGCTGCCTGCAACAACAGCCGTGCTATGTGGGTCACCTGCTGCGGCCAGCCAAGTGCTGATTATTAACATACAGTACAGTGTGGTGCCTTCTTGCTGCAGCCGTGGGCACTCGGCACATCTGAACACCAGCCCTTAAATACAGTAAACTAGATCAGCAGAGTACTGGCAGCTGAGGGGATCTTGGCAACCATGTCTGCTCTCCACCAGTTTGGGGCCATTGCTGCACACAGCTGGGAGAGAGTGAAGGGTTGGAGGAGCACTTCTGCAGTGTTTGTCTAAGAGACTGTTCTGTCCCTCTCCAGGGTAAAGTAGGGGAAAGGCTGCCAGAGAGAGATGCCTTTTCAAGGGGCTTTCTGAAAGGCCACACATCTCAATCCACAAGTGGGACAGGCAAAAAGTTGGGACTGTTTATAGCTTGGGCTATGGCTACAACTTCTGGTGGCAAAGAAAAGCCACCACTGCCTTGCTTCTGCCAGCTCCACAGGGCTCCACTCCACAGCTGTCACCAGAGTGTGAAGCACGTCCTGGGAAGGCAGCAGCAGCCCCAAGATGAAAGCACAGAAGCATCTAATATATGTCTTCTGCCGGATGGTTGCAGAGGCCTTTCTTCCCCTGACAGGCGGGATGTGATGTAGCTCTGCTGGCAGACTGAGGGGTTCTGCTGACACGCAGGCTTTGAGTGAGGCATAGCTACATAATGATCTCAATTGTGCTAGTGTCAATCCACTGACTTCAGTGGAGCCGCTCCGGACCTCACGACACTGGCCATCTGAAGCTCTGGCCTATACTGTGCTCTTTATGCCTCCACCACCAACTTTACCACTAAAAACCCATGAAAGGGAGAAGCAGGATGTGAAAAAAAATTTCGTCTGGAGAGCATCCGAGATGCTGTACTTGAATTTAGATCCAAGCTTCCCCAAAATGTAGATATACTGATCTGGGAGTTTGGATCCAGCACAACCAAAGGCTGATTAATGACTAGAGCAAAGGAT